TATATATATATTACTGTGCAATTTCCTTCATCTGAACCGTCCTCACAATTGTCCTCACCGCTGCATTGCCAGGATGGAGGGACACATTCTCCACTTTCACACTTAAAGTAGTTGGACACACGGTGCAATATGAATATTCTTCATCTGAACCATTTGGACAATCATCATAACCGTCGCATTGTAAGTATATAGGGACACATTCCCACCCCTTTCACACTTGAAATCGTCGGAATTGTAACAATCATTGCTTATACAATCTTCCTCATCTGAACCGTCTCCACAATCATCAGCACCGTCACACAGCCAGTGTGAGGGGACACATTTACCACTTTCACACTTAAAATCATCGAGATTGTAACACTCTTTGTTGCAATCTTCTTCATCTGAACCATCTTTACAATTATCATCACCATTACACTGCAATCCTTGGAGTACACATTCACCACTATCACACTTGAAGTAGTTGGGCAGGGGACACGCTGTACAATTTTCTTCATCTGAACCGTCTGGACAATCATTAAATTACCGTCACATACCAGATAGAGAGAGAGGCAGCGGCCGACAATGTCACAGCCGAAAACGTCGGGCGACAAACAATCTGGAGCCGTGCACTCTTCATCCGAGCCGTCGAGGCAATCTATGAAACCATCACACCTTTCTGCCCAATCGATGCAGTTGTTAGTCGTTTTGCATACCAAGGCGGGGCACTCTTCGTCTCTGTCGGCAGGACGAGGGGAGGCATGGCCGATGGACAGCAGGTACATGAAAAGGAGCAAGCCGGGTACCATGGTCAACTTTACGGTGGGAAATGTAGCTGACATTTTTGGTGTACCAGTCGTACCCTGGCACGGTGACGTCTACTCAGTCTAGTGCCACTAATAATCAGGTAAGTACCGGGCTTTGTGAATACCCTGTTTCACGTAAAGGCTTATAAAAAGTATAGAATTACAGGGAACATATGGGTACTAACCCAGAGGAATGTGAGGAAACGTCATCAAACCTTTTAATTAGAATTGCTACATTCTCTCGCTGTTAACAGAGTGAGTCACACCCGACTTTATATCAGGATATGTATTTAAAATTTCGTGCTGTTGTACCCAAAGAGTTGATCTGAATGCAAAAAGACATCGGATAGAGATATCAAACATCTTCAGATCTGATGTATTCTTAATAATAATAAGCTTGCTAACTTGCGAATTTCGACAGACGAGCAAGAAAAACAGTAAGAAATGTTTTATGGTTTCCACATAAAACTGCAAATTGAAATTCCAGGTGGCACTCGCCTGTATAGGGCACATGTAGCTTATAAGCTATGTAGTCCCGTACTATACAGTGCAAGTCCCATATGCCGCCCCTTTGTTGCACGCTTAAGACACACGCAGTTACATGTATTAAGTCCCAATGAATTATTCTAATAACCGACCACTTTTGAAGTTACGGCCTGATAACCAATGCCAAATGGAGCCTTATGATTGGTCGACGCACGTAGCTATATGATAATGCACACTGAAACCAGCTGACGTGACTCTAGGTTGAGGTATGTAAAGTATCCCGCTGTTTCGTCGTAACTATCAGAAGGAGACATCGTGAAATATCTGTTGTTGTTTTTCTCGCTTATAAGTCTTACTATGGCAGCTATGGCAACCCAAAATCATTTGTAGGTTTAACAATGCATCTGAATGTCACCTTTATTACAGTTGGTTTGCGATTATATGAAGTTTTGGCTCCCTTTCAAATACATGAAATTCAATAGAACTCTTCACTGATAAGATAACGTTGAGTCGACTGAATTCTTTGGTTAATGATATGACAGAACTGAATGTAGCAATATTTTGATGACGGTCCCATCGCCCCGCATTGTCACGCATATGTATTTCTGCGCCATACCCACCTGTTCGTAAACGAGCTCGAGCGAGTTATGCACAAATGCTTGTTTTTGGAGAACAATATTGGTGAAAATAATATGCTTCACTTTGCACCCATACAGGATGGGTTCACAAGAAACAAGCATTTCTCTATTTACATTGGTCAGAATATGAACCGTTTTGTAGACAGTACATTTATGTCGTGGATTATTATTATTATGGATATATAACATGCAATGAAGCTACTGCCGTCATCGTGGGCGGCCTTGAAGATCGTAATTCTTATTTACACCGTAATTAATACCAGCTCCCCATATGAAAGCTGATGATGGCATGCATGCAAACATATTTTAACCATTCCCGAAAATCGTTCAAAATTATACCTCAAACAAGAGCTCGATTACCCCATACCTTCGTCATGTATGAGTTTGGGTTGTCAGAAATGTGCCGCTGTATATAGTTTGACTTTTATTTTGCTTGTATGTTAACTAAAGCATGTGATTGTGAGTGCCTCCATACAGTACGAGCATCTGGTCGCCTGAATCGAACTACCTATGGACTAGAATAGCGGTGCCGACAAATTTGGATCTTCATAGTGAGTAGTAATATGCAAAAAAAATCTGGGGTGCTAAGCTAGTGTCCTTGTTCTGTAGAGGAGGGGATTACTTTTATGCATTTTCATCATAGCGACATCTCACAGACTTCTTTCAGGCCAATTTGATCGTCGATGGCCGGCTACCTTCTCTCGCCAATTAATACCCTTTTTAGGCCAATTTCTACGATTTATTCAGCCTGCAAATGAAGTCTGCAACTGGGAGACTACATTTTGAGAGGCAAATTAAATGACGACGGCTACTTGAGGTTTGACTACTAGTACACAGTTCTTGTTCCAAGCCTTACTATTGATGAGTTACACTAGATTCCTTATAACACCAGAAAACATGTATTAACTTAATTACAAAATAAACAATGAATAATCTAGCATATAACAAGGAATCCTTTTAATATCTTGGGATACATTACACATGAAATGGTATTTGATAAATGCAGTATTATTTTGTAATTGTTGATGTGTGCAATGCTTTATCTGAACGTTTTTAGCACTTTTAGTATGTAATTTTACATGTTAGATATGATTGCGTATATTTTGGTAACTTATATCAAACACATAAACATCTACACTATGTCATACTGCACATAACAGTGCCCTAACTAGGCCATCTGATGCATGAATAAAACTCCCTGCATGATATGAATCAGATGGATTAATTTACTAATAATTGACAAAGTGAATATGAGGCTTACTCAAAGCATAATGCTTCATACTGTATTTCATCACCAATATTGTCTTTACAGTATGAAGCATTATGCTTATAGATATATAGAATCTGATATATTATTGGAATACACTTCTTCGACTCTTTGTTACATAATTAATAAAATCGTTTTGTCTCGAGTATTATATCCAACAAAGGTATGATGCAGTTCTGCCTTCTATGTATACCATTTTTTCAGATTACCTTGCATGGTTTTCCAAGGCAGAGCGGATTATTTACAAACCTTATTTACAATTTTGGACAGTGGCATCATTCACAGTCCCTTACTGCCAGGTGTTGGGTAGCAATGACCGCCATGGTGAATGGTAGTAATCACCAAGCAGATCATGCGGTGGCAAGGCAGTATTCATTTGCAGGAGGAGTGCCCCGTAGCCACGAAACACTACTCTGGAAAATGAATACTACCTTGCCACCGTATGATCTGCTTGGAGATTACATGGTAAAATGAGTAAGTTACAAGTACTTTATTTTTTATGATCTACTATTCCTAAGTTTGTATTATTTGGAGCTTGACCTCTGACATCTCACCTCTGACAGACCTTGTATTTTGATTTATGATTTCACTGTTACGTTTTATTACTATTATTTTATATAACATTATCTTCTGTATGGGCTCTCTTGGAAATCATCTTCAAGATAAATAAATAAAAAAACTTGTATTCCGCTTTGTTCTGAACGTAAATTAACGACATTATTTATTTTGTGTCATTATATTATCTGTTTTATCGCTTGGGTATGTATGTATGTATGTATGCATGTATTTTTATGTATCTAGGGACATCTGAAAAACAGGCCACAGACCTGAGTGTGATCCACTGGTAAAATAAGATAAATAAAATGAAATGAGATTTTGTATCTACAATCACACAGACCAGCCTCTTCAATGCTCAAAAACACGCGGACACAATGCAGGAGTTTACTCAGCAAAAGGCTTGAAAAGGAGAGAAGCAAAGCTTGTTTCTGAAGGGCAATTACTTTCAAATTGTATTATCCACGTCATGTGGAGATGATAAGCACTTTTTAGGTGGGCAGTTATAAAGACATTCTCTTAGGTTCCTTTCAGTACCGCAATCAGAAACTGGTGTCATCTTCAGCGCAGGCCGAACGCCTGTCTTCAGCCTGATTTTCTTCAGCATCGACGAATGTTTTCATGGGTATCTCAGTAGCAACGTCAGTGCCGCTTGCTGTTGGCCCAAATCCACCTGCGAGGGTCTGCAAGTTGCCTGCAGTGCCAGTTTCATCTGCCTCAGTTTCCCCTGCGGTGGTAGGCTGGTTGCTGGCAGTTGCGTTCCGCCCCTTGTCCTGACGAGGCTTGCCCACACGATGGCGTGCCCTGTTCTCCTCTACATCGGCCATGATTGTCATCTCCATAGCAGTGCCGGTTCCACCTGCTGTTGTCACCTCAGTTCTCCTGGTCCGCCGGTTGCTGGTAGTGGTGGTTCCTCCAATGTCCTGGTTAGCTTCGATCAGACCCAGGCGCACCATGATCGAATACTTCCATTCCTCCAACACCTTCCCCGTCATTGTCAACAACAGGGTCAGCAGCAGGCCTTGAGAAGCATTCAGCACAATGAAGATGTAGTCGAGAACTGCGACATTGACGAAAGGAACAATGAATCCCAAAATCCAGGTGAACCCCGCCAGAAACGAGATACGCATGTAGACCCAGATCTTGCTGATCTCCGAGCGTTGCAAAGCAGTGCTGGCTATCTGAAATGACTTCCGTATGGCCAACAACACAAGAGTGGTGAAGACAAAATTGACCATAAGGGCGCAGAGGACAGGAACTCCAAATGCCACCAGACTGGCTGTTGGATTGCCGATCCAACACTGCTCTCCATAACCCACCCTGACAGAACTGCCGAATTCCACAATCACTGTGACAAGGACTATAGGCACCGGCACCAGCCAGGTGTACAAGATGTACTTGTACAGTTCGGCTCTTTCGGAATCCTCACGAAATGTAAGGAAGAGATCTACAGCTAGCACGTTCATGGATGTGAAGGCCGTCAGAATAAAGTAGTGCAGAAGTATTGCATAAACTGTACAGCCTGGACCGGGAGAGAGGAACACACGTCCCACAAACTGGGTTACGGCAACTGCCATGCATGTCATCATCTGTACCTTCAGCTTTTCCGGGAGTTTTTTCCACTGGCCTGACCTGTAAGTGTGAGCCACAAAACCAGACACGGCAAAGTCAGACACTATCACAAGACCCAGGGTTAACCAGTGCTGGACAGGGTCCGAGGTTTGGAGCGTGTCGTTCGAAAAATACTCCAGTAGGCAGTCCCCACAGACTGATGCTTCTGTGTTCAGGATGGCCACCTGCTCAGCTGGGCATGACAAGTTAGAACTCAACAGGCGGACACTGCCATTGGGAAGGATTTCGAACTCTTCGGATGTGAAATTCAGAATGGGTCTGCTGCAGTTTTGGAGATGGGAAGTATTATTCGAAGGGCCGTGACTAAGGGACGAGAAAACTCGACACGAGTCTACAAATGGGTCGTATATATAGTCTGGGGGGCAATGCTCAGGGCTGTTTTCGGGACTCTCATCAGCGTTAAAGTTGAACAGAGAAGGTAATGAGATAGGGTTCAATACAAATATATCTCTCACACTAGCAGAAGGACAACTTAAATGTGTGGCTACCGCAAGGGAAAGTCCTTCACAAAGAGCACAGTGAACGTTTTTATAGAACTTGAAAACGTCAAAAGTTACTCTTTCGTCGTAGGACCTGCAAGCAGTCACATTACAATTTACATTCGAAATATTGACGACAGGGACAATGCATTGTCTCACATTCAACCGAGTAGGACTGAACTCCACCTTTAGAGTCCCGGTACAATCTCCATTCCAGTTGGGAATGCGGAGTTTATAATGATCGTATAATATTTGTGGAATTCCAATGGGGTTTGTAGGTGAAGCTGTGTACCCAGTACACACCGGTGTGAATCGCCATGTACTGAATTCTTCCGTACTTACATTGTTACAAAGAGCACAGAATATGTTTCTATAGGAGATACTTGTTGAGCTATCTTGCACGGGCATCCGGTAGACCAGGTCACCCGGGTTGTTGGGATCAGCTTGCTTTAAACACTGATCTCTTGTGACGTCGTCCATCCAGTCGTCAGGGCAGCCAGCCACCAGCCAATAAGATCTTCCCTTGTCATATCCCGACAGGCACTTCCACTTTTCATGGTCACGATCAGATGGTTTTTGAGCTGTTGTGTTGAAGTTGCATACCTCTCTGTATTATGAAGGCAAACAATCATCAGGTCACCTCATTAATTGTGCAAATAAAGTCGTCATTTGCATTATTTGCATTTAATTATGTACATCTCTCTCTCAGCTACCTACCTACCAAAAATAATGAAAATACGTTGTTCCTATCTGGACTTCCAAAGATTTGCTTTCAAAGATTTCGCCCGAAGGTCCCCTGCAATTCCAGAACAAGCTGATAGGGGGGACCAAACCCACACCCACTTATTCCTGACAGGAAAAGATATCTGTCACCAAAAATTCAAGACCATAGCATGCTCAGGACAAAAGATACAAAAACCGGAAGTTCTGCTGCAGTACCAAGGTCATCCACCAGGAGGCCCATATTTGACCTTGACCTTCGTCTTCCTAAGACTTACCAGCATACCAAATATTATCACAATCCATAAAGGCGTTATGAAGTTATGCTGACTACAAATGTGCGGAAACACAAACACACACACACACACACAGACACACACACAGACAGACACACACACACACACACACGCACACACACACACACACACAGACAGACGCGCCAAAAACAATACCTCCATTTTTCATGGAGGTAATAACCCCAAACCAAAACCTCTGCTTGGAGAGTACCAAAACTCACGTATGGGCACGTATTCCTTTTCTTGCAACAATGTACAATTAGGATGTACCTCTAGAAATATGCTGCCCCCACTGATTGCAATATGTATACAATCTACGTACCCAATGTCGCTACAACAGTCGCTGAAAAAGCTGCAGTCCTGGTCACACTGACACGAGTAAAATTGTTTGTAACTCTGTCCGCACTCTCCTTTACAGGAGCTGTTACACTTTCTGGGAACATAGTCCGACGACGTGGGGTCTACATAGATGAGAAACAGGAAATAGTGAATTAATACTAGTGTTGATGGATAAAGAGTTTGCATTAATTCTAAAACTTTCAAACTGATGTTTAACAATCTTCCTCAATAATGTCCAATGATACAGTAAACATAATCTTATTTGTTGTTAGACTTTGTCCTATCCAATTGCACTATCAAAACTGTTATTATTGCGTATATATGATGATATTGTCATGACTTGCCATGCATTGGTAGATGTGAATGACTCGATAGATGACAGTTAAGGATGATAACAGTTACCCATTTACAACTTATCAGTTGAGTGTATAACAATAGACTTCGACTGTTCGAACTTTCTTACCAGGACATTCCGTCACGTCACAGTAGCCCCACGTCTCCGTCCCGTTCCTGGTGTAGCACCAGGGCCGGTCCTTGTTGTCAGGGTTACGGCAGAAGTTTTCCTCCAGCCCCGCATCAGGATGAGCCTGTGGTGTGTGAGGATGGGTGTGGGGGGACTGGGAGTCCCATCTCTGACACAGCCGGTCTCCTGCCCTGTGGAATGGGTTACTATAGGTTATGTACCTTATCATGTTAAACTAAATACAGATAAATAATTAATATAGTTCTCAATTGTCACGTTGTTTTTAAAACTTAACGTTATTACAGACTTTTCGAAATAAGGTTAGTACATATTTCCTGTTTGCGTTGCAAAACCATACAAAGAGGGTCCTTGTAACATAACGCAGCTTGGGGTGCAACTGATTCGCCGTACTATAGAAAAAATGCCACCAAAGCTCAAGCGCTAATCTTACCTATTTATGTGCCCTGTATAGGTCCTTCCCTTGTCGTTAGTGAAGAAGCAACTTGTTGGTAACTCTGAAAATGGAAACAGGACATGTATGTCGTTGAATGAAATCAGCATGTCCCCTCCCTCCACACACACACACACACACACACACACACACACACACACGCACCACCGTTTCTCATTAAAATCAATCGGTCCATGCGAAATACACCGTGTAGTATTCTCTATGATCTTACCGTCACAGGCGAAGACATCGTCGCAGTACATCCACCTGATTGTTGCGTTGTTGGTGTAGCACCACGGCCTGTCCTTCCCGTCCGGGTTCCGGCAGTAGTTCCGCTCCAGTCCTGCTGACGGGTAGGCCTCGGGAGTGTGGTTATGGGTGTGGGGGTACTGAGATGTCCAGTACTGACAGAAGTGTTGTTGGTTTCCACGGCCCCTGTAGCTTGCCCCTTTGTCGTGTAGGTAGTAACAGTCTGTGGACATAGCGCTTTACATTGTACCATAGTGTCCAATAGCATTTCGTGCTATAAACACTTTGATGGGGTTGTCAGTAAAAACTGTGTGAAAAAGCTGCAGTCCTGGTCACACTGACACCAGGAAAATTCATTGTAACTCTATCCGCACTTTCCTTTACAGGATATTTTCGAGCTGTTACACTTTCTGGGAACATAGTCCGACGACGTGGGGTCTACATAGATGAGAAACAGGGAATAGTGAATCAATACTAGTGTTGATGGATAAAGAGTTTGCATCAGTTCTAACACTTTGATGGGGTTGTCAGTAAAACTGTGTGAAAAACTCACCACAGTTCTTCTCATCACTGTTGTCTCCACAGTCATCTCTGCCGTCACATCGAGCAAACGGGTGGAACAGGACACCATTGTCACAGGCAGAGAGGGCTGCAGGTTATAAAATCAGTTATAAAATTGTCTATCCAACTGCAGGTGTTTGTGAGCCATTGGTTGTACACATGATACACATGACGCGCACACTGCTTGAAAAGTTGGATTTACCAATGGCAGTAAATACCAGTATGGTCTGGTAATGTTTACTTTACAATTGTTGTAGATAAAAGTCCGGCACTGTCAGACTTGAAATTACCGGACCTGACTTTTATTTACTACCATTGTCCGGCACTGTATACAAAGTAAACGACTGGCATTTACCACCATCGGTAAATCCTACTTTCCCTGCAGTGGCAGTAAAAACAACACACATAACTGACACAAGAAGTTAGGCAAAGGTAGAAAATACCATAGACACAAGGGGGAATATGCTCACGACATGATAGCTCGTCACTGCCATCCGCACAGGACCTTACGCCGTCACAAAAAGGGTCTTCGGCGTTCTGAATACTCCACTCAAGACATCGTCCATTGCTGCAGCTTATCTCGCCTTTTCTCTCACCTGCGATGAACATTGAGGCATCACGTTTCAACATCTAACTACAATATGCCACTGAGCCGTATTGAGAGACTTAGACAGTCATTATTTATCCCTAGAACTTAAAAAATCATGCAGGAGTAACTGTTGTAGATAAGGACACTGTGGACTTTCGAAAATTCTTGCCTCTGCAGAATGTTGTATTTTAATCATTTTATGGACTTTCGAAAATTCTTGCCTCTGCAGAATATTGTATTTCAATCAGCCTTGCTCCTTGTTTTAATGTTTATTTATACCGTAACCGTCAATATTTCAATGCTGAATGATTCACGATACATGGACGTACAAGCAAGTGTAGGCAGACCACGCACAGCCTACGTACACCAACTTTGTGAGAATACTGTACTCTGGAATACCTGTTTGGCGCTATGGAAGATGGGGGGGGGGTAGAGAGAAAGGGTCATGAACATCCGTGAGACTCTATCCACACACAAGGGACATCGATTAAGTATTTAATAATATATTTAAAGTCATCAGATACATAGGAAAGTAGCAATTACTTGTTTTAAGTTTTGTTTTATGGTCAAAGTGGAACCAAGGGCAATTTAAGTCAGGTTTTAAAAAAATGAATAATTATATAAAGGTGGCAAGGTGAATTTAAAGGTTCTGGGTTCGAATCCCTAGTAAGTGTTTGAAACATGTGATGAAACGGTGCTCTCTGCGTTTCTACTTACAGCAGCGTAGTTCGTCCGTATTGCCTCCACAGTCGTCCCTACCGTCACATACTTGGGTCTGGTCAATGATGGTCCCATTGGCACAAATACCTTAGGTTTGATTGAAGTTAAGAAAATTGTTTGTTTGTTCGGAAGTAATCTCCGTAATTAATCCTGCAGTACAGTTTGATTTGCCTTTGAAAAAATTGTTAACCTGCAAGTCTAACTTTTGAAGAATCTAGTTTCCGATAAAGTTATATACCCCTTCCATCCTGCACATGTGTTCTTGTTACGTACCAGTGTTCCTGTAGTCGACACACGCCAGACAGTCACAGTGAGCCGCAGTGTTGCCGCACCAGTTGTCCGGGGAGCAGCATGGGAAATTACTGCTAGGGTCGCATTCGGCGGCCGGGGTGTTGTCTTCAGCCTTGTAGCCTCGTCCGCAACGCAAATCTTCTCGCCACTTCTTAGGAGCTATTAGGTCATAAAGTCATTAAAGGTGTCGCTCTATCAGTCACTTTTAATACGTACACAAAAATTGTCTCATCTGATTCTGTATATGACATCATTTCCGTGTCAATTTTTTTGTCTTGAAAGGGTACATTGAATAAACATTACGGCGTCTACGGTCTATATATGTTGCAAATAGAGCATGAAAATTAAAATCCGAGAGAGAAGCAATAACAAAGTATTTATAACATGTGTATGCACAAATCTGATGGATATATTCAGGGATCAACTAGAGGTCAAAGATATCACACTTTCGTAAGTAGCTATTTCGCTGAAAGCTTTACTAGGTACCCATTGCCCAAACACCTACGTCCCACTCAAAAATCATGTTCAAAATACGAGATATCACACCTTTGCACATCGTTACAGTACCGTACAAAGCAGCCAACCTTCGTTGTCCCAACCCAACCTACCTACCAAATATCATATAGATACATGCACCACACCCCATGATGTATTAAACCGTTAAAGAATTCACAAAGCCTTATAAATGGTGTACCTAACACTCACTAGTAACCTTCTCGGCGAAGCTGCTAGTGCTAAATAACTTGAACGCCTCACCACAGGCTGGCACTTCGCACAGCTCGAATCGCACTGACGGATTCTCGGTGAAGCACCAGACTCCGGGTTCACCATCCGGATTCCGGCAGTAGTTCTCCTCCAGTCCGGATGACGGGTGTTCAAACAGTTTGCTGTGTACATGTGGAAACAGCCTGTCCCAGCGTTGACACGTCTTGCCTGTCCTGGTCACAGAGACGGTTCCTCGGTAGGATGCCCCATCCCCCACCTGGCAGGGTTCTGGTAGATGAAAAATGCAGCTGAACTGTACTTTCTATCAGAAATAATTTTCGATTGACCAACTCCTGGTTTCAATGAATAAGCAATTCACAAACTGAATGTAACACCAATTCTAATGACCTACCAAATTCACAGATGAAGCCAGCGTCTATCTTACAGCCCACGTCGTTCCACTTATTTCTGTTGTTGAAGGAGAGGTCGCCCGAGTTGTCGGGGAAGTACACCGCACATCGCTCCTTTCCTCCGCTCGGTTGTCCATCGGCCCAGTTTTCCCATTCCATCGGCTGGGAACCGCGTGCGTATGTCCACGTTCCGTCATCTGAACGGGTCATCCCGAAGTAGAAAACCTTGGTCGTGTCCGCGGCGTTCTTTAAAGCGACCAGGAAGTCGTTGGTGGCGCTGTCACCAGGCATGGCCAGAGTGCTCCCTTCTTCTCGGCAGGTCGCCAAAGCCTGGTCGTACTCACTCTCGGTGTCGTAGGCACGGTAACATCGGCGTGTGTGGGGGAGGTGCCAGTAGCCATTGGAACACTCTCCAACTGTGGTCAACATGTGAGGACAAAAACTCTTTCGGGTTAGGTATGTAAGTACTTATATTACCCTTATTATTGCCACCCCATGCCAAATTTCAGGTCATTCGGCTAAAAAATGGTTGAATCCCTTTAAAGAAATGACAGGAGGAGGAGAAACATGAGGGGAAACAATATATTTCTCCCATACTATAGTATGAGTGAAATGTAACTAATAAAGTACAGAAAACAAACTAATTAAGTATGACAAATGATGTAAATGATATCGATAATGGAACGGAATTTGCATATCAATGTTTTATGAACAAAATTTGAAATTAACAACAATTGACACCAATAGCCATATTTAGTACCTGTAATAACCTGGACTTCGCACAGCGTCAGGATTCGGGAGGGGCCAGTCAGATGAACCCCCACATATCTTCCTGCCATCCACCGACACTGGATGGAAACGGTCGGCTTCGTCACGAGGATCTGATGATCACCTCCACACCTGGGGTTCTCGCTGACCTGGTCGGAGTCCCCGATGTGGATGTTGAAGGGGTTGAGTCGTTCCGAACAACAGTCCATGCGGTTGAAGATGACCACTCTGTAGATATTGTCGAAGCAATTGCAATTAAGTATGATACATTTAAGGATGAAAGTTGTAAGACACCATGCATGCAAACCATGGTAACGTGTAATTTGAATCTTGAATTTCTCCTATGTCAGTTCTTCTTTGACTCACTGGTATAAAGATATCCATTAAAAATGAAAGGACGTCGTTGCCGGCCATGCCCCTACATGTCAATCATCACACCATTTCTAGTCAACCGTTTCCTGTACTGTTTAATTATTACTGTTGTTTTAGTATGTTGGACAAGGAGTCGACCTATGCAACAAGGTTGCGGGAGGATCTAAGGTCTAAGGTAAGGTTTACTATGTTGTATTTCGTTTTGCTAAATACGCTCATGTCGTGTCCATACGTACCTGTCAATCATATACGATCGGCCGAGATCCACCCACCAGCTTGGATCAGCCTCCTGCTGTGTGAGTGTACAGGTGGCAATGCCGTAGTTCATGTAGGTATTGGTAATCCCGTCTACAGCAAGGCTGGCAACCCCGGGTCCGTGCGTCCCGTTAAGGGTGCTAGTCTGGAACGCCGTCTTCCTCAGAGCGACATTAAAATCTACCGCGAACGAAGAATGTCGTCAATAGATTGAAGAATTTCCATCTGTACATCAGAGTTTTATGGTTAAACGCATTCGATGCAATATAATGGCAGCAAAACTGGAATAAGGCGATCTGCATGATATTGACACATACTATCCCACATTAGCACATTTCCATAAGTTTTTTTTTCATACTTTGGGCATTTAAAACAGGGCAGAAAAAAAGCGCTAAGATGAATCTTTTGGTACCCGGAAAATCGGCACAAGAATCCTACCAGTAACCGTTTTTCGTCACAATTTTGGCATTTTTGCTCCATGAATGTCAATATAGTACATTGGGATAGTGTTGTCTCAACGTGGTATGTAGATAAATGACTATAAACTATTGGCTTTGTAAAATCTGGTTTTCAAGCCCTTAAAACTGCACTGGCCACGGGCACCTAACAAAGTTCTGTACGGAGAGCCATGAGCTGTTTATCACCCAATGACTCGGCAATCCTTCTGCTGCCTTGCTCCGGGCAATATTGGCAGGTTCTACTTCCCACCGCAAGGTGGCGCTTGTAAACATTTCACGGTTGTGTGTAAAGGGCGATCGAATTACCCAGCCTGATGAAACTATTCATGGATTACTGGCGTATGCTGATCTAGATATTCTATAGCTGGGCCAGCTCCTTTTTCTAATGCCTATTGCGTAAATTCTGGAAGCGAACAGCCAGCTGGGTGAGAGGTCCTGACATCATCTGCAGCTCACGGCGCAATTTAAGTATCTTTTTGTCAGTGTTTGACGATACCGTGCGAGAAGCAACAACAAAGTATGTTGGAATGAGAGTACATAGATAATTCATCGATGGAGCAGCACCAATACATACTTACATACTAGAATCACACCGCCCTGTTTTTATCAGACCATTGCAGATTAATTAGCTGACGTCACAGTTGAGTTGGGCAGCGCTAGGCCCAAAATGATACAGAATGGAATCACCCTTGTAGTGCCTACTTAACAAGCTTCAAAATCTTTCTTTCCGTGCAAATTTTTCCACAAGAAAAAACGGGCAGGGTCACAACAAGCTTTCCCAGTTTGGCAAACATTTGTTCATTCATCGTTTATTTAAATATTTAGCACAAGGACAGACCCTAGTGGTACGGTCTGGTACTCAGTGCGGATGGATATAAGCAGGTACTTGGGTGAAAAGCAGGTTTTGTTTAATTAAGAGCATCCAGTTATTCAAGTTAGAAGTGGACAAGCCCCTTTGTCCTTAGTTATCAACCAGAAATTGCTGGCATGAAGCAATGTACAAATAGACGACGTCTAAATTATTATATGAACATTCATCTGATCCATGGGCCAGATCGAAGCCGTTTAGCCAAATATGGGGGCCCGCATGCCCTTTTCCGTAGAGCGTAATCGGCCATTTTAATTCTACGTAGAGCGTAAACGGACCCGCTCTAATTCAACGTAGAACGTAATTTGCGCATTTTGCGTGGAGCGTATTCGCCATTTTAATTCTACGTAGAGCGTTGTAGCCACTTGGAATTCATCGTAAAGCGTAATCGTATTTCCTGAATTCAGCGTAATACGTAGCCAGCTCTCAAAATTTAGCGTACAGCGTTGTCGGGGCCCCCCTCCCCCGATGCAGGCCCCCAAATATGAAACTTGCAAACTATCATCGCAAAAATTCTGTGGTTCGAGCATACACCGTTCACAGTTTTTCAAGTTCTACAAACCACAAGCGTAGACTGAGTGAAGATATCACTATATTGTGTGTTAATGTTTACGGAGTTAACGGTAGTGGATAAATAGCTGGTTACACACCTGTTGTCGCAAAAGCACCAGACAGGCAGCAGCACAGACCCAACAGCAGCGCCAGTGATGTTCCAGTAGTCGACGGGTTCCCCATTCTACCGCGAGACGACTAACTCGTGCTGTACCAGTTCTTCTTAGTAAACTAAGCAGTTGAAAAGTTCTGGTGCACGAGCTTGGCGTAACATGTACAGCCAGATTCTACCAGCAACTAGTATTAAAAAGTGGTGCGTGTGGTATTTCATCTGCGTCACGAACTCCTACGTCACAGGGTTACCATGGTAACCACTACCAAATAAGGTAACACCTGAGGTAAAAGCTGCGTGAGTGAGAGAAGTAATTGAATATTCATTTCATTAGTGTCCTCCATCTGGTATTTTCTGACGTGTTCCTTTGTGAATTATTCAATGACAGGAGTTCTGTGCCTGCCTGTACCCGTACCGGAATGTAATCGCGTACAGTAAACAACAAATTCTGTGTGTCCATTAAAAACAAGAGTCCAGATGAGTCATTTTTCCTGTATCACAAACGTTACAAAATGTATACACAGTGGTACATAAATAGAATAGAAATAAAACTATAGAACATAACAGAATATATAGTTGAATAGATTAGAATAGAATAAAATAGAATAGAAAATAGAATAGAATATACTTACTAGTCACCCCATCATAGTCCTTAGCATTAAACTTTATACAAGTACTATTTTAGTAACCCCCCCCCCTTTCTCCACAGCTTCTTTCCGCCGATCACGAATTTTTTTTATAGCGCTAGTTTTGCTGGCCTGTGTGACGTCACCAAGTGCTACACTTTCTTCAGAAGTCTTCTATGCGGTGGCATCCCTTTGTTACAGCTTCACTGGTGATTCTGACGAGTTTTGAGAGGATTATAGGTCGTGTCTATACGGAACCACCCAAGGCGCGATTCGGGTAACTCACATTCCTCACATCTGGTCCACGTGCCACACACACCTGCGAAACCGTGTCCGAACATAATGCGCTTGAGCTACATTTATTGCTGTTTGATGATAACACGCAAGGCGGCGTTTTATTAATGTCAGAGGTCAACGACCGGCTTGCTGATGCCCCCCTCCCAGCGTATCTCGGCCGAATGCCGACGTGGTCCTGCCAGAGGCGGTGAAGCTCGCCCTAGAACGGACACATTATTTGACCATTACTGCTCTTTAAGTTGCTGCCACGTAAAAGTTGGTATTGCATATAAAAAAAGAAATATCACTCCGTAATCCATGACCAGGCGAAGTCACATTGAAATCACATTGCGTTCAGACGCAAATCGCGATGCGGGGAAAGCGATTCGAAACCACCTCTAGAAGTGGCTTGGGATCGAGGCGCTTTCAATGTGATTTCGGAGCGTTCAGATGGAGCCACTTGAAACCGGCTTCGGGGTAAACCACATGTAAACCGCCTTGGGTGGTTCCGTATAGATAGGGCCATAGAATCGTCTGATTCCGAGTCCCGCGGCCATTTTGAATATCCCGCGCAATGTTAAAGGCATCAAAGGTCACCCTTATGTGTATTTGATTACCCAGATAGTAAGGCCACACCGCCTTAATTTAATGTATGACATCATCTGAGACCCCCAAACTAGTGCGCGCGGGCCAATAAAAAAATCCCGGCCCCAAATAAAAATGCAGCTAAACCACAGGAATACAAAGATACAAGGTATTGTGAATTTGCGAGAGAAAAATCGTCCCAAAAGGGTATTAATTGACGAGAGAAGGTAGCCGGCCATTGACGATCAAATTATTGCAGGCCAATTTGATCGTCTATGGACGGCTACCTTCTCTCGCCAATAAATACCCTTTTAGGCCGATTTCTACGATTTATTCAGCCTGCAAAATAAGTCTGGTGGAGACTACATTTTGAGAGGCAAAGTGACGACGGCTACTTGAGGTTTGACTCTACTAGTACGTAGGTCTACGCGTAACGAAGAATTATTCAGAAACGCTTAACGCTGAATTTATGATGACAAATAACGCGCTAGGTAGAATTACAACGACCAATAGCGCTTCACGAGGAACATACCGATAACGCTTAACGTTGAATTGTAGAAATCATACGTCAATATGTTTCTTTTTTTTTATTTCCGATTCACGTTGCAGCGCTATACACGTTGACGGAATCTCAGTGCAGCACACACACAGAGAAACCAAATCCTACTTATATCATTTTAACTTTTTTTCGATTGATCTGTACATGGTCGAAAGGGGTCTAATTCTACGAACAACTATTAAACTGGCGTTATCATTATTTAGATGAACACACCAATTTAACATCAGAAATAATCATTTAGACCCAATGATATACATCTAACTCCCATGCAAATTTTGAAAAATATGCCAAATCTAAATCAGGACCCAACAAGTACTACCATGGAGGTAGTACTTTTACCTCCATGGTACTACCTAGAGTCACTAGCTCTGGGCACCTTAGATGCAACGAGTTCTTTCTTAGACCCCAAGTGAGCCTCGCACGGCCTCGCCACCGAATAGCCTCCCCAGACAGGACGTACACAAGTGCCGCCAGAAAGTAGTACGTGACAAGGACGAAACGTCTAGTTAAAAGTCTAAGCTTTTAAACTGTCGGCATAATTTCCAGATTGTACTACACCTGTGCAGTTAAAAAAAACTATAATTGTGTTTGTTTAATACTTATCGTAACGTTGGTATACAGCTTGACAGTCGCGTGGCGGATGGATATAGGCAGACTTTCTCGTCGCACGACCGCACCCAGCTTCAGTTGGAGAAGAAGGGCGGCGGTGTGAGGTAGGTGGTGAATTTTCAGGCCGTTTTCTGTTCTGAAATGTCGTTTCTGTGATCGTCAGTTTGCGTAGAATGAATCCTAAAGATGTTACAGTTACTCGTAAATAGGTGAGGACAAGTTTTATGGCGAAAGTTGAGTGATTCTGCCGTTTAGTTGAGTCGAGTCGCAGTGTTCTGTACGGCAGTTTGTGGAATGTCTCTCGTCACCAAATTATAGGCAGTTTGCCCCAACCTTTTGGTCACGAAAAAACCTCCTGTTTATGATTGGAGAAAACGACCACACTATGTTGATTACCATAAGGCCAATTTTACAAATTTTCATAAGAATTGCGTGCAAAGCTGAGTCTGGCTGACCGCGACTGACATTTTGTGATGGATTACCTTGTTTACGTTTTGGCGGACGAGTACTGCGTACTTTGCAGTCTTCTTGGACGATTTGTCCAGAATGATTACACAGCCTAATACTTGTCTATATTTTTATTCGTATATTTAGTCACATTTTGAATTTTTTTAATGTATGAAGAAGGTATCCGTACATCTGAAAAATTTTAGGAATCGAAAAAACACAGCCTAATACTTGTATATATTTTTATTCGTATATTTAGTCACATTTTTAATGTATGAAGAAGGTATCCGTACATCTGAAAATTTTTTAAGGAACCGAAAAAAATACATGGTTGAGCTACACCGAGCAAATCGGCCTCCATGAGACCTTTCCTGGTTACACAAACCTAGTTGTCCAATTTCTACCGTGTTGTCTGTTCAAGAATGAGAATTTAGTTTAAAGATTTCGGTACTAATCCTTATATTCGTGTTTCCTCGTTTCCTCTACAGTTACTCCTGAGATGAACATCAAACACCATGGATCGATCAGCTGTGAGATGAGGACCATCCCACACAGAACACCAACAGCTGTGTCCATGCAAGACAGGAAAGACCATTAAAAACAACATCTTTCTGCAGCAAAGCGCGCCTTTTAATATCTGACCTGCGCTCAAATATTCAAACTACACTGGTCGTTTGTAAAATCGGTGACTTATTAGCAGTTAATAATCATTTCTGAAGTGATTGGCTTGCGGTAGATCATTTGGCCAACTCAATGGTTGTTAGTTTAGGTCTATTTCCTTCAGCTGTCCTGCCTCTTGGAAACCCAGACTTCGGGGACTGTGCCACTGGCTCAGTGGGGGCTGGATCAGCTTAGATTAGTTGGTTAGATGGTGCAACCCAGTAGATGGCTGCGTTCTTTATTGTTTAATTAGCGCCTACCAATTCGTCAGGGAAGGCTCAAGCCGCGCCTCCCCGGCCTCAAATGTTATTTGGTCAGAGGGGGTCACATAGAACTGCCGAACAGACACGGTGGATCTGTTGTTAAAGACTCGTCCTAAAATTGATTGAATATTAAAGGCGACAATGCTAAGCAGTTGGGTGTCTGGGAAATATATACAGATACGTGTTGACAAAGATATTTGCTACGACTCGCGTGTCCAATTACACCGATCGATCCACGGCGGTCTGTCACTACGGCATTCTTTCCCATTGCTGGGGGCGTTCGATAAAGTATCGGGTTACAAGACGCAATTTTGGGCTAACCGTAAAACATTTGAAAATAAACAAACTAGTATCGAAGGGAAATTCCGTTGAAATAAGATAAAATTATTGTCTTTACATACATTCAATGGTGATTTTTTTGCGCTAAATGGATGATTTTTTCGTATTTCGTTAAAAAGTCGATAATTTTCGGGATTTCGCAGCGTCATATTTTAGCCAATCACCGAGCAAACCTGGCTACACATATTAGGCAAGATCACTGATTTTTATATTTTTCGACGACTAGGAATAAGACGAAAAATCGTGCTTTTGGGATTTTTTAATTTCTGACTATAAGTATAGTTTTTGTTGACAAATAGGTGAAAAAATCGAATATTTTGGCTTTTTTCGCACTCAATTACCCATAATTCAAAATCAAACGCATTTTTCAAAAATCCCAAAAGCACGATTTTCGGGACAACCGTGACAGTCATTTTGAGCCGTAAATGGGTTATGTTTGACTCTCCACGCTTCCAGGTTTGAACGAGTTTTGCAGACATGTCATATCTCCCAAAAGTGTGCACCGTGTTATTCATAAAGGCGTAAAGAATCATTACAGTATTCAAGGTCACCCAAGGATACGACAGTAGTTTCGCTACATGTTACATGTCCACAAAAAATGATAGCGGACATGTACTGTCCTGGAAACTGTTTGTATCTATAGAAAAGTGTTGTTTTTTATCTGTTGCGAGTCACTAAGGCAGAAGGGCTTGTTTTGCCGCTTTATTGCAAATGACCGCAGGTGACCCCGAAATGGAACGCGGGTTCGATTCGAATTGCCCAGATCGAACACGATCGAACACTGTTCGGATTCTATGAAATGTGGGAACTTTACAGCCCAGATTTTACCACCGTGATCGGAAGAACTGGCCAGGTCCGACAAGATCTCTTATACTTGATGTAACTTCAGGGGTGCCAAGCAGATGTTTGGAGTTACAACAAAATGTTGGGCGCTTCAAACAGATGCACATATGGCACTTGCCCATATAGTTTGCTTCAACAGACATAGGGAGCAGATCTGGAGGAAACGCGTGAATCATGTAGTATCTGGTTGTTAAATAATGCTATCTGCAATGCCAAGTTTGGGACAGCTAATTTCTTGCCTCTCTTCCCTGTCTCTACCTCCTCAAAGAACTTATATGACTGGGAAACGTTCTCTCAGGAGTTGCAGACAAACGTTTCTGAGGACACGATTCCCCTCGTCTCCTCTATCTTGGCTGATAGCTGGACCAGTTTCTTGCAAGACGATTTGTTATCTTGTTGGCACTGCGAGGTAGACTCCGGATACCCGTTCAAGCTCGGATAGGCTGACACTATTAGATTTCGGAAGAATTTGAATATAAAATGGAATAAGAATCTGAAACAAATAGAAATTATCTTCCTACCTGACATACAAATGGTCCATTTAACATTCCAGTCCACATATTCCAACGTCCACACATTATTCCAGTTCATATTCAAGTCTGATTGTATGGTCGCCGGCTCAGAACGGGAACCTCCTCTCGGAATGGGATCGGGAAAGGTCCACAGCTCCGGTCGCTGGCGCAATGGCTCCTCCCAGCCGCAGTTCTCCCGGTTGACTCCCCGCGCGATGCAGTACAATACTGGGTGCTCGTAGTGCTGTGGCACTGCGTCAAGGCGGTCGCGCACCCGTGCCCTCAGTTCGTCTATTAGTATTACCTTCTGGAAATCCCGCACCTGGGCATTCAGCCCCTGTACCATCGCCACCATGTAGAAGTTCGGGTGGGCGCGAAAGGAGGACACGGAAGCCTCCATGGGGTGCGTCCTGGGATCTTCCGGGCGTCGCGCCGACCGTCCTCAAAGCTGGTAGAGATTGTCGGTCTGGGGCTCACCGTTGATTTCGGCGTCCAGGCGAGCGATAACCCGGTTCAGGCCGCGGACCCGGTTCAGGCCGCGGAGTTCGCCTTTCCTATGCCTGAGGTAGGCGTACGCCTTTTCCAGTCTGTAGCGGGCGTACACCTCCCTTACCTTCCCTCTGTTTCGGGTCCAGGGATCCACCCCGGCGGCCTGGGCCTTCCTTCCCCACGACCGCCAGTGGTCTTCTACCGGGCCGTACTCGTGGTCTCGTGGGTTGTCGGGAGCGTCTGAGTCCCACTCGTCAGATGTGCCGTCGTCGTACGGGCCTGCCGTTGCCATTCTGCGTTGGGTCGTTTTGGAAATTTGGTCGGTAGATCGGAATGAATCCATCGCTCGGCGATCATCCTCTTCGCGGATTTGCGGTCCGAGCTCGGAATGGCGATTCTGTCCGGAGTAGGTCCTCTTAAAAGAGTTGGGTCTGGTGTTGACGTTACACGGCAGGTTCTCTTCAATGTCCCCATGCCTGAGCGCGAACCCGTATCCTCGCCAGGCGTGAGTCCTTCACCGACGTAATAGCTCATCGTCGGCGCTCCTCGGCAGGTTCTCGTTTATGTCTCGTATATCGAATTTACGTAATGTCATGAAATTCGTTTCTTGGTATGAGAAACTGTATGAATGTGGCTACCAAAGTGTATACAAAGGTGATTTTAGTTCAAGGTAATAACCATTGAAAAATCGTTGAGAATTCGTCTAACTATCGGTCAAAATATTGTAACAACTACAGAGTCCCGAAAGAAACAACACACGATATAGATGAGGGCGCTTTTCTACTTTTTATTACCTTCGACAAGAAGGTTATGTTTTCAGTAGCGTTTGTCTGTGTGTGTGTGTGTGTGTGTGTTTGTGTGTGTGTGGTTTAGCAAGATAACTCGAGAAGCAGTAGATGGATTGGAATGAAACTTGGTAGGTGGGTAGGTCTTTATGAGACCTAGAAATGATTAGATTTTGGGCCCCCTAGTGGCTTTCCTAGGTACTGCAGCTGAACTTCCGGTTTTGATATCTCGTGTTCTGTACATGCCAGGGTCATGAATTTTGGTTGGTAGATAGCTCTTGGGGCAGGGAAGAAATGACATGAGTTTGGGTCCCCTAGCGCCCTGTTCTGGAACTGCAGGAGCATTTGTTGAAAAAAAATTTCAAGGACGATAACTCAAGAACCGGTTGACGTATTGTTGTGATTTTTGGTATGTAGGTAGTTGAAGTGATGCTTGACATAATCAGATGACAATTATGCAAATCAGGAGCTAATTTGCATAATTAATGAGGAAATTCTATAAATCTGCTTTGTTCGATAATAGAACTGAAACACTTGTGACATCTACTTGAGAATGAGAAAAACATCTGAGGATATAGATTATGTAAATGAGGACCTAATTTGCATAATTAATGGCAAATTCTTATAATTCCATAGTTGTAACTGCTGCACCCTGAATTTCAATAGTTAAGTGAAGGTGAACATCAATAAACATAACCTATTCAAATCATGACCTCATTTGCATAATTTATGAGGAAGTGCTATAATAGCCTTTTTGTTATGGCTGTCATTTGTTAAGGCTGTCATTGGATGGAGATTATGATCAACTGATATAATCCATGCAAATGAGGCTCTTATTTACAAAATCAATGATTAAAATTTATAATTCGTCACCCGCAAGGGTTAACATCATTTGGCGAAGGTATGAGATCGTTGAACTCTTGTTTAGATAGAGCAGAGTAGTTTCTTTTTCCCAATACTACTAACAGTGACTGGTTACCCCCATCCCGTAAACAGATATCCGGCAGAAACACGCGTAGTGCTAACAAACTGGACATTCCCATCTGTAGAACAACTCGCAGAAGAAAGTACATGGATACAATCATTTAAAAAAAAGTTTCAAAGAACCATACTCTACCCTACTCTAAGTAGTCCCTACTCTACTCAGTCACGCCTGCTGTAAGGGGTGCTGGCAGGCTGCCTCGTAGAAAATACATGGATACAATCATTTAAAAAAAAAGTTTCAAAGTTTCAAAGAACCATACTCTACCCCACTCTAAGTAGTTCATATTCTACTCAGTCACGCCTGCTGTAAGGGTTGCTGGCAGGCTGCCTCGTAGAAAATACATGGATACAATCATTAAAAAGCAAAGTTTCAAAGAACCATACTCTACCCTACTCTAAGTAGTCCCTATTCTACTCAGTCACGCCTGCTGTAAGGGGTGCTGGCAGGCTGCCCAGCGCCTGCGGCGGGCAGATCCTGGGGCTGGGGCTGCCTCGGCGGCGCACCTGCACCGCGGCCAGGTGGTGGTGGCCACGTCGACACGGTACACCTATACAGGAAGGGAAGAAATGACCGACGTTAATATGGTGACGAAATAGTTCTTATAGTGCATCTATTGTTTACTGACCTGTGTAAAATGATCGTAAATATGACGTTTTGTTTCATGCAACTTTCTACGATAGTGATGAATTGGACTTTATTATACTAAGTATTGACAATCTAGTCTACAGTCTCAGGCAAATATAGCCAGGACATACACATACAGAGTACTCGATGGGTCACTAATATCTAATTGGTATATAACCGGTCGATTTCGGCGTCCAGGCGAGCGATAACCCGGTTCAGGCCGCGGACACTGCGGCGGAGTTTGCCTTTCTTATGCCTGAGGTAGGCGTACGCCTTTTCCAGTCTGTAGCGGGCGTACACCTCCCTTACCTTCCCTCTGTCCAGGGATCCACCCCGGCGGCCTGGGCCTTCCTTCCCCACGACCGCCAGTCGTCTTCTACCGGGCCGTACTCGTGGTCTCGTGGGTTGTCGGGAGCGTCCGAGTCCCACTCGTCTGATGTGCCGTCGTCGTACGGGCCTGCCGTTGCCATTCTGCGTTGGGTCGTTTTGGAAATTTGGTCGGTAGATCGGAATGAATCCCTCGCTGGGCGATCGTCCTCTTCGCGGATTTGCGGTCCGAGCTCGGAATGGCGATTCCGTCCGGAGTAGGTCCTCTTAAAAGAGTTGGGTCTGGGCCCGTCCCTAATTGTCTGGGGCGTCCGAGTCCCACTCCTCGGACGAGTCGTCGTACGTATACGGGCCTGCTGCAGCCATTCTAAGTTTGAACGTTTCGGTAAGGTTGCTGGTGGATCGGATTGAATTCCTCGCTCGGCTACTGTTCTCTTCGCGGGTTTGTGTTTTTGAAAGAATTCCTACAATAGGATTTTCCAGTACAAGTTTCACCTTGTTACCTGTACATGTTGAAATTCTGAATCACTTGTAACATCAAAACTTTCATCGTTGCTCAGACCTCGGCTTGTGACATCATGTAAGTTCAGATCAACATCAGATGAAGAGGAGTCAGAGAGAACAAAAACATTTGCTCTCTCTCTATGTCCAAACTTTGAATCATCAGATGATTCCTGAATATCACATTCAAAACTTTTTGACTGAATCAAAACATGATTATCAACATCAGAGGCTTCAGAACGTAGGGCGTTGACTTGCTCTTGTTGAGATTCTGCCCCTGCCTTGTCAGTGTTATTTGAAGATAGATGATCTTTTACAGCATTTAAAACTTTCCTGATTTTTTATCAAAACTTTCAAAATGTCTTGTTTCTCTATGCAATGAAGCAGGCTTAGAGATTCATACCTACAAACAGCTTTTGCTGTTGTAAGCAGTACCTACCAAGTTGTTGATGTAACATCGCGCAATTTTGTGTTTTAGAAAGAATCTCTATGATAGAATTATTATCCTTTACTCTGATACAATTCACTTGTTCTTCTACATGTTTCATCATGTCTTTCACCCAAAAAGCATTGGGATACAATTCCAGGGCATGATTTAGTAGAAACAGCGATACCTCGAAGACACAGTTGATACGGGCAGTTTCAGCTTCCTAAAGTTTTGGTAAATGTACTCCACTGTTGTTCAATAGTCTTAGTGGTGACAACATCATAGTGATGGTGTTGTAACAGTCTTCTTTACTGCTTCCCAGATGTCACTGAGGTCTAGGGCGGACTTACCGTTAATCCTAAGTCCGACACGTTAGCCACACTACGCTAACTAGACTAAGGACTAACACAAGCCACGGGATTCGATGTACCACCGGAAGGTTTACTCACTCAATTCCGAACCTAACACAAGTTGGCACAAGCTAAGAGGAAAGCAGGTTGTAATAAAAAAGTACATATAACAATAGCGATACAGTACAATCAACTCGTATGGAAAAAGGCTAGCTGACTCTTACGGAAAGATCACAAGAGTACATGAACACTACACATTAAAACCCTGGCTGAAAGTGCTACACAAATATTACCCAGAAAGTTAGTCAGAAGTGACGGGAGGCTTCGATCTACAAGGGTAGTAGACCCGCTAATATAGACTCATAGGACCATTACAATCTACTGACTCCTCGGGTCGGGGATGTTGACAGGAAGGCGCTTCAAAATCTCTCTCCCAGAGATCGGGAGGACGCCGAATTACATTCAGAAAGCTACGTGATTGACAGTCGGTGATCAGTTTGGGTACTTCCCGATTGGTTGGAAGTATATGCAAATGGCCCAAACCGGGTCAAGTCTCCAACTAGTTTATAAAAAGTATGATTTTCCTTTAATTCCATGATGGCATCTTCTATTTAATAATAACTGCTTATATCCACCTGCTTAATGTACATCATGGACAGCACTAAGTGCTACAGTACAAGCATGTGCCATACAATATCCATCCTTTGGTATTTATACTGTGCACCTGTCTGTTTCTTCCAGCCATGTGTGGTCAATCTCCTCATTCACTACACAAATTTCTTTACTAACATAACAGTAAGGGCACACAGCAAGCAAGATACAAAGAGAACTTTGTCATCACTAGAGTGATTCTCGCAAACAATACTTTCAAGCTCTGGAGTGCTCATCTTCCAGCAAGTGTTTCTTAAAAAT